CCTAACCCTAACCCTAACCCTAACCCTAACCCTAACCCTAACCCTAACCCTAACCCTAACCCTAACCCTAACCCTAACCCTAACCCTAACCCTAAACCGTGCTTGCAAGGCACAAAACCTTGACAGAAACACTCTGCCCTACAAGGGTTGGTTCCAGCCATACTCTGTAAGTTTCGAAGAAGGTCCATCGATTCAGAAAAAGGCTAAGTTTCGGTATAGGCATACATCGGTGCAGTTTGGATGACCATGATCGTCTTCTGCTATGGTTATACTTCTTTCGCACCTTGGTCCGTTAGCGACTTCTTTATCTACTACACACTTTTATTACTTGGTAAGAACAATGTCGTATCACTTACAAGAACATACTAACCAAGATCCCAGCTCCCATCACCTACTTCGGCTGGAAACTCGTCAAGCGCACGCGACTCCTCAAGCCTCTTGAAGTCGACCTTGTCTGGGAACGCCCCATCATTGACAACTATGAGATGACATTTATCGATCCTCCACAAAGCTTCTGGTCCGAGATGCTTGGCCCTCTCATGTTCTGGAAGCATTCAAAGGGCAGTGACAAACAGATGAACCTCGAGGGATGATTTGGACGAGGAGGACTTGCTGTTAGGGCAGAGACACATGCATGAATTGACGTATATATAGAACTTGATGTAGATATGAAAATGAATGACTCGATTGAGCACAGTTTACAGTCACAGCACTCGATCTCATGCCGTCATTACATTGTGATTGTTCTCAGTCGGGATTGTTGGTGGTGGCTCGGTCGGAGATGGATCTCTGCATCTTATCTGATTTTGTCTGGGTCACCCTGTTTCATCGATATCTTGCTACGTCTAGCATCACCTCACCAAAGGAACTGAGGAATTAATGAAAAGTCGAGTTGCAGATAACTTTCACAATGGAATATAGCATATAACATTCCAGAAAATGTCATCGTTAAGTCTTACGAAGGCCGTGTTGTGGTACATCAACGCGAAACAATCACCGAACGATTTCCGTGTGTCCGAGATAGTGTCATGGCCGGGTTGACGAATCTTCTCACCGCACTCCCTGATCTCCCTCAAAACGGACTTCTTCATCTGGACCTGCTTCTTTAGTGTCCACATCCTCCTCGCTCATCCTGAACCTCTCAACAACCACAATCTCGACCTCGCCACCGTCGCTAGATAAACGATCCAACTGCTTATTGCGCATCCACGTCCACAACAACCTTTTGAACTCAGGCACTGCGATCATCTCGTGAATCAGGATCTTGATGCTGATGCCCGTATTGCGGAACAGATAGGAGATGCGCGAGTGCTTGGTAGCTCGCTCGGCGTAAAAGTTTGTGAGGTATTGGAGGTTGGCTGGTTGGTTTGCATTGAGGTGGGTGTAGTGTGAGTAATTAGTTGGGCTTGACATGATGAGTGTGAAGATGTTGTGGTAAGAGCGGATCTAGACTGGGGGTGAGGTGAGGTGAAGCAAGGTGAGAAATAGTAGAATGATGGTAGGGATCAGCATGTTCGGGCCGTGGGATCCCGGGCGCTAAATCTCTCTGGAATAAGCCTGCCTTGATTGATAATTCTCTTCATCACCCCTCACCGAGTGGGTCTTTGCCCGAGATAATGACCTTCTTTCGAATGACAAAAAGGTGTCAGATGGCTCCCATACGTCGTCGGCGGACAACTTTCCAAAGCGGTTTCGGTTCGGAGTGCCCCACATTTGAGTCGAAGGGTCCGAGGGTCCCGGGACCGCTCAGCGACGTGGCTTTCACACAAGTGGGCCCGGAAGAGTCGCCGACAGCCGCCACAAGGTTCCGACCTTACTTTTCAAAATGCTTCTCTCTGTTCCACTACTGACGCCGACACTTTTAATCAACATGACCACCGTCGATGCTGACCTACGTACATCCTTTGAGCTCCATCGATCTCGTGTTCTACAACTTAAACGCAATTGTATCGTCAAACTATTTAAGCGAGTTGAGGTCTCACTCGACAGCACGGATCGAGAAGAACTCGAGGATGTCTGGTACGAAGAATGGCCGGATAGTTTAGCTGGTGGTATGCCTTTGTCAGTCACCAGTGGTCAGGACTTCTACTCGTTGATCGATGACGGTACAAAGGCACCCAGGTCTGCAGAAGAACGACTGCAAGCCTTTACCCAGATCGAAGTATGGCTACAGAAACGTGCCGCGCAACATTCGGAGCCAGGACCTTTGACTCTCCCTGATGATTTCAAGCAACTCTGTGCTTTAACAGACTTGCTCGAAGGACCAGGACTTCCCTTGACACGTTCCGACATACCTCAGGCATTTGAGTAATTTGCTATGAGGACGTACTTTGTCCAACCAATGTTTGAAGTCGTTGGCTGGCGACAGTCGGAGAGAAAAGGTGGACCGGAGCACATTATGCCGTCGCCGAAAAGCCTCACCCACGGACGCGACCTAGCCAATCCAGGGCCGTCTGTCCCTCGGAGACATGACGCTTGTCATATGCCAACATGACCTCGTTCGCCGGGTCATTCGACCTGAACGCAGAGCCGTGACACAAGGTGTACCCTCATCGATCCTCGGTAGTAGAGCAAAGCTCCGGCTCCGGTCCACTTTTCATTTCTTTGTTGCAGCCGTACGTGTGTCTAGCAGCATATGAGGTAGGCGTTATCGTATATAAACACTTGCAAGCACCAGCATATGATCCAAAGATGCCCAAAAGAAGAATCTGCACCTTTTTTCTGCAATGGATAACCCTCGACATAACACACGTTTCGTCATAATCGGCGGCTCGTTTGCAGAAATCAAGACTGCACACGGCATTTCAAGTCAATACCTAAGGCTCATGTAACACTCATCACTCCTTCGAGCCATTTTTTCTACAACATCGCCTCTCCAAGGATTTTGGCCAAACCCAACGTGTTTCGACCAGAACAGTATTTGATCAATATTCCGAAGCTTTTCGCCCACCACGACTCGAATGCTTTTCACTTCGTAGAGGGACTCGCAGCGACAATCGATCAGGACAATCGAGTGGTCAGGCTCGTCGGTCGCAAGGAGATACCGTATGATTACCTCATCATTGCATCAGGAAGCACCACTCAGTCTACCGAGGGAGTGGACAGCGATATAGTACCGTGGAAAGCTCGACAAAATGGTCAAACGCTTGAATGCGTCATGGAAAGTCAGAAAAAAATTGCAACCGCCAGGGAAATAATCATCTGCGGCGCGGGACCTGTGGGAGTGGAATTCGCAGGCGAGCTTGCCGATGTACTTAGAAAGGACAAGAAGGAGCGCCGTATTACCCTCATTTCCGCAACAGACAGGGTTTTGACTCAGGTTAACGAGCGTGTCGGCTGTCATGCTATGACAGTCCTGAATCGTCTGGGCGTCGAAGTCTCCAGAGGAAGTAGGGTCATCTCCGCCAGTCATGATACTGCGTCTGCGAGATGGATCATCAAATTGGATGACGGAACGGTCATGAGCTCAGACTGCTACATCTCCACAACTGGTCCTGTACCAAACAACAAATTCGTTCCAGATCACTTTCTTGACGACCAAGGATGGGTGAAAGTTGATGCACACCTTGTGCCGTCAGTGCTGCAACTTCTCGGAAAAGTTCGGGCAGAGTGTATGCGATTGGCGATATCGTTGCACACCAACCTCGGACCGTGCGTGCCATTAGCGAGCAGCTGCCTGTACTCCTGGCCACTCTTGAAGCGGATTCCCAAGGCACATCGTCTGATCGTAGATTGAATTTGACATACTCGCCGAGTCCAAAACTTCCATCATGATACCCATCGGGGACTCTGCTGCGACAGGACTCATCTTCGGCATTGTTCCATGGGAACTCGTGATATGGTTTATCAAGGGTCGTAACTACCTCATACCATTTGTTCGATGGTTTTTGAGTTCGTGATCGCTCACAGAGCTTTCACACCTTCAGGGAATCGGCATCTCAAAAGCGGCCAGGGTTGGCGTGAGGTTCATCTAGCTCCGTGAATGGCCAAGGATAAAGTCCATCGTTGCGCAACATGAACTGATCGGAACCGGTGTAGGCATCATCTGATGGAGAGTATTGGTAGTTGAAATCCGCCATGTTGAATTCAGGAATGGCCGATAGAGTGAAATCTGGTATGTCCATATCCCAGAATTCGTTCGTAGCTTGAGGATCATTTGTATAAGTTGCGCTGTTGATGGACTGCAAATTCAAGATGTGTTAGCCCAGGTCCCCATATTCGTAATTCATGCTGCACCCGAAGTTCATTGAACGAACTCGGGGCTGAACTCACCGTTTGCTGAGTATGATCCGTCCCAACCCCTGTACCACTTGGTGATGATCTTTCAACAGCGGCATCTTGCGAGCTGACACGCTCTACACTTCTACAGATCATCCCATCCATAATTCCATAAAGATGGCCGAATGCAGACACTATATCGGGCTCGGAATTTTGTTGTGGTGAATGCAGCAAGTCAACAGTCGTCCTCATCAATGTTCGGTCTGCTTGCACTGTTTCTTGACGAGGATCTTGGATGATGTTGGCAAATAATGTGGTGATCGCATTGAATGCGAAGTACATACTTTGAGCATCGAGTGTCAGCCGGCCTTGATATTGTAGGAAAAAGGATCGAAGAGGCACATATTCGAGAGAGGTAAATGCTTACTTGGTGAAGATCCGGCCATGGCCTTCCCTACGCTGATTCAACTGCTTCATAAGACTGAGCGACCATCGGGCTGAGTTGACACAGAGATGCTGACTAGACTCGACGACCTCTCGGACTTCCGGGTCTTGTGACAAGGCGCTTTGTATTGGATTGGCTTTGGCAGTCCAGAGTGCAGAATGCAAAGGCGAACGATGGATCGCCAGAATGCAGTTGTGGTATACAAGATGCAACATGGCGATTGCAGCACGTTCGTCGGGCAAGCAAGTAAGGACATCGCCAGGACGAACATCTGGCAGCAACTTCAACCTCCAGTCCTTGATATCTTGATTCAATCTGACTATACTTTTCAACCTTTCACTTGCAGGTTGGCTTTCAGCTTTGCTGGAGTACAACTCCGAATATATCCGGCTTTCGATCTTGCTCAACATGGTAAGCTTGTAGAAGAAGTGGTGTCGGTCTGGAGTGTCAGACGCCGTCTGAGCGTTGTTGCTGGGCTGGATTGACGCTGGCAAAGGTACATCAATATCGTCATCGTTGATCATTGGCGGACGTCCCAGTCGAAGACTCAGATCCTTCTCGAGAGCATACATTATCCAGAAGACTCTGTGTCGCTGCTCAGCTTCTGCTAATAACGCTGCACTGTCAGAAGTGATGAAGGGTTGCTTGTGCAAGCCAATAGCGAATGCTATACGTATGGCTGAAGCAAGAACCATGTATGCAGACAAGGGATCGGTCGTGCTATCCAGACAAATGCTCTTTGATGGCCGTTAGCCTGATGGGGATGATCGTGTTTGGGTTAACCACGTACCAGACCTACTAATGCCTGTATTGTAAGCAGACTGTGCGACCCGAAGGCCAGCTCAATGTAGACTCTGCAAGCATTTCTCAACGCGTCCCAAAACACTTTTTCATCCGTATTAGAAGAGGAATTTCTGACGGATGACGATGCACGGTACGATTCCGTCTGTATGGGTATCTTGGCGCCTATTGCTTTGACCACGTTGATCATGGCGAACCAAGCTACCTCTTGAGGTTGTCCGTCATGATCTACAGAGCGCTGTAGATGTCGATACTCTTCGAATCTTGCCCGATCCAGGAGAGGTACAAATCGGTTGAACCCATGAAAGTATCCTTATGTTTTCATCAGCTCCTGTTACCCATAGCGATAGAGTCGACTTGCGTTCAATCAGACCATCGGGCTGGTCTCGTTGGCAAATACTCTCAGGTGTTACCTCTGACTTGCAGAGATTAACAAACTGTGGTACGTGCGCACTACTGAGAGTTCTGAGAAGTCCTTGTAGATCGTTCGAACCAGTCTTGTCATATATCCACGTCAATCCTTGTGGCGAGAACAGTGAGAAAGCGGATGAAGAGCCTGTAGCCGCAAGCATAAGCAATGGTTCTCTCAAAACGGAATTGAATCGACTGCACCCCAGTAGTGAGAATCTCCAGGATCATTCACGATCAACGTCGAAAGCTGCTTAGTCAATTGTTCATCTGCCGCTTGGTTTTGGCCATCAAAAGATGGTCTCCCGAGATTCGGGTTGGACTCGGAGAGGAGTGTTTCTAATCGCTCGATTCGCTTTACCATGTTGGAAAGACGCCTAATAGCGATCAGTTACAACAGACAGCAATGCGAGATTAGTGCCTTCGTACTTGCTTCGATGCGTTGTCCTCTTCGTGGCTTCTCCTGTACGACAAGGCAAGGACTTAGCCTGGCAATATCCACATGTCTCGCTCACAACAGTACGCTCGCATTTGATCTGTGTGTCGGGCGCTCGTCGATCAGTGTTTGCGGCGCGATGATCAGATCATACCAACCTTCAGACGTTTGCAGGAATCGCAAGATATCTTGCGTTGTACAGTATTGAAAGCTTCCATCGAGATCTTGCATTGCTATGATCCAACCTGACGTGTCGCCGCGTGTAAAAGATGTCAAAAGATCATGGAGAGCCTGGCAGAAAGACGCGCTGGATATGTTGCGACACCAAGCAAGCACAGACCCGTCGACAAGCTTTTGTCAAACGAAAACATCCAGCTGTGCCCTAAGTCTGCTTACAATAGTCTTTGGACGTGCGAACTTTTTCTCAACACGACGAAATTCTGATTGATATTCTGATCAAAAGAGTCGGCTTGGAGATTGATGGAATGCAAGCTGTTTGAAACAGGAAATCCCATGGGTGAGCGGACGTGACCCGCTATAGGAAGTGGGCTTGACATAGGGCTCGACTCTTTATGCAAAGCTGTGAGCTCGTGCCAAAATCAAGTAGGGGCCAGGGTCCATGTTATCATGATTTGGCAGCTTGATGCTCACCGGCCAACCATGTTACTGCAAACCATCCAACCAACATTTGTATTTGTATTCGTCGATCCACGACAGCCTAGAAGAAAAGGTGGACCGGAGGGAGCTGTGCCGTCGCCGAAATGTATCACCGTCGGGAGGATTCACAGTCAATCTGGGGAAAAAGTGGGCCGGAGCTCTACTTCAGTCCGCAAGCCGAAATGCGTTACAATCGGCGTCAAGCAAACAAGAGCGATTCTCAACGCAATCTGAAGCAGCGCCGCTGCTGAGTGGTCTGGTTCATGTTTTGCTGCATCCTTTTTGCTCGAGGGCTCGGATCCCAAACGCTTCACGCGCGGCAAAAAGTGGGCCGGCGGGAAGAATAAACAACAGTGCCGTTGTGAGTAATTGTACGACACAATGTCAGACAGCATGGTAAGTAAAGTCCTCTCAGGAGGACGGCATTTTTCAGTCCGAAACATTGAACTCAAAGCTGTCACCTATCTTACCTCCGTGATCTTCAATGATCTATATATACTCAGCAGCCCCTTCGATATTGCCGTGGGATTTCTTCGAGAGCCACTGATCTTTTGCATCCACGTATCTATCGCAGACATGAATCAAGCCGCCCAAGGGAGTGTTTTTGCCCCTGATATTACGAGACACCACGCAGACATACCAGAGCGTACGAACGTGCACCATATCAGCATATCAGATTCGACCAGGGCTAATGAGAGAACACATCGAACAGCTGACGCGGAGACACATCGACCGAGCAAACAGTACGAGCCAATCCAAGAGAGCGATGATGCTATGCTACGAGATTTGGCACGTACGCACTCCAAGCAAGGCCGCAAGCTTGGCTCCACCTTGACAAGCAGTCGATCTTCCGATATCAACACCATCAAAAACAACCCGGAGGACGATCCAGGGCTGGATCCTACCAGCGGCAACTTTGACCTGCACAAGTACCTCCGCAGAACACTGGCTGTACTTGAAATGGAGAGCATGATACTCAAAGAGGCAGATGTGGTCATGAAGAATGTCAACGTGTCTGGCAGCGGCAGGGCACTGAATTACCAGGACACTGTCAGCGGTATGCTGATGGCTCCCTTTCGACTCCGCGAATCTCTGAGCAACACCGAACCCAAGCATATACTACGGAATTGTAACGCCTTACTGAAACGCGGCGAACTTCTCGTGGTTCTCGGCAGACCTGGCGCTGGATGTAGCACATTCCTCAAGGCTATGACTGGCGAGACACACAATTTGAAATACGAAAAAAACTCTAGCATCCACTACTCAGGCATAGCACAAAAGACCATGACAAAAGAATTCAAGGGTGAGGTCGTCTACAACCAGGAAGTCGACAAGCACTTTCCCCATCTTACAGTGGGACAAACTCTGGAGCATGCTGCTGCATTGCGTGTGCCAAACATGCCCTTAGAGGGTCGATCAAGAAAGGAGATGATAAAACACATGGTCCAGGTCATCATGGCCGTGTACGGATTATCCCATACGTACAATACGAAGGTTGGGAACGACTTTGTTCGCGGAGTCTCTGGAGGTGAACGCAAACGTGTCAGTATAGCTGAGATGGCTCTTGCTTGTTCGCCTATTAGCGCCTGGGATAACAGCACAAGAGGCCTCGACTCTGCATCGGCTTTGCAATTTGTCAAGTCATTGAGACAAAGCAGCAATATCATGAACACCACTCATGCTGTCGCCATCTACCAAGCAAGTCAGTCCATCTACGATCTTTTCGACAGAGCGATGGTCCTGTACGAGGGTCGACAGATCTTCTATGGACCTGCATCACGCGCAAAGGCTTACTTCGAAGAGATGGGTTGGGATTGTCCCTCTCGACAAACGACCGGCGATTTCCTTACCAGCGTCACGAATCCTATTGAGAGAAGGGCGAGGGCAGGTTTCGAGTCCAAGGTGCCACGTACTCCTGACGAGTTCGAAGCTTACTGGCAGGCGAGTCCCGAGTACTTGAACCTGAGACAAGAAATCGATGATGCAGAGGAGAAGTTAGTCAATGATGGCAATTCAGGTCTTACCATGCTCCGCGCCGCCAAGAGATTCCAACAGGGAAAGTTTGCCAGGAAAAAGTCGCCGTATGTTGCCACCATCGGGACTCAAATCAAGATGAACTTAATCAGAGCTGTCAACCGGGCATGGAACGACAAAGCGTCTACACTGGCTCCGATCGCAACCAACGTCATCATGGCTCTTATCATCGGAAGTGTTTTCTACAATACTCCGGAAGCGACTGCTGGATTCGGATCCGCTGGAGCAGTTCTTTTCTTTGCAATCTTGTTGAGTGCTCTTGGAGCTATCGCAGAGATTGCTACTTTGTATGCTCAAAGACCAGTCATTGAGAAGCACAAGTCGTATGCCTTTTACCACCCTTGGACTGAAGCCATGGCCGGTTTTGTTATGGATATCCCAATCAAGTTCTGTGTTACGGTCGCGTTCGACATAGTCATTTACTTCATGGCTGGGCTTCGTCTTGGTGCTGGGAACTTTTTAATTTTCCTGCTTGTCACCTACATGGTGACGTTCACCATGGCCGCCGTCTTTCGCACCATGGCTGCTCTCACCAAGACTCTATCACAGGCCATGGCATTGGCTGGTGTTCTTGTCCTTGCTATCATCAATTGTACTGGCTATTCCCTCCCCATGCCCTATATGCACCCCTGGTTCAGCTGGATTAGATACATCAATCCTATTCAGTATGCGTTTGAGATGCTCATTGCGAATCAATTCCATGGTAGGAACTTCACTTGCTCTGCTATCATCCCGGCTTACTCACCTCCACGTGGTGATTCTTGGATCTGCAGCTCTACTGGAGCTGTTGCAGGTCAAGATTATGTCAACGGCGATGCATATATCGCTGCCGCATACGAATATACTCACGACCATATGTGGCGCAATCTTGGTATACTCTTCGCGTTCTTGGTTGCTTTTATCATCATGTATCTCTTGGCCGTGGAACTCAACTCGTCCACGACGTCCACAGCAGAATCATTGGTGTTCCGCCGAGGAAACGCGCCAAGTTACCTGCTGGCAGACCAGACCGATGTGAAGGATGAAGAATCTGGCGAGAAAACTGTCAAGGCTGCTGCCGATGGAACCACTGGAAATTTAGACCTACTACCAGCACAAAAAGACATCTTCAGCTGGCATAATGTTGTTTACGACATTGAAATTAAAGGGGAACCTCGCCGTTTGCTGGACCACGTGTCAGGGTGGGTAAAGCCTGGCACACTTACAGCGCTTATGGGCAGTTCTGGGGCTGGCAAAACCACTTTGCTAGATGTGAGTAACTCTCAAAGTCATCGACAGAATTAACACTAATGTGGACTTACAGGCACTTGCTCAACGAACCACAATGGGTATCGTCACAGGCGATATGTTCGTCAACGGTAGATCACTCGATCCTAGTTTCCAGCGCAAAACAGGTTATGGTACGTTTGAACTTTTCTCTGCACGAGAAAGCCTTTTCTGACCAGATTGCAGTCCAACAACAAGACCTCCACCTCGAAACTTCCACCGTTCGTGAATCGCTTCGCTTCTCCGCCATGCTTCGTCAGCCAAAGTCCGTCAGCAAGAAGGAGAAATACGATTACGTTGAGAGTGTCATAGAGATGCTTGGCATGCAATATTTTGCTGAAGCCATAGTTGGCGTGCCGGGACAAGGTCTCAACGTAGAACAACGCAAGCTACTGACCATAGGAGTCGAGTTAGCCGCTCGCCCGAAGCTACGTGAGTATCTAACTCTGTCTTAGTGGAGTTTCTAGTAATGCTAATGCTCAAAACCAAAGTCCTTTTCTTGGATGAACCTACCAGTGGACTGGATTCACAGAGTTCGTGGGCTATCTGTGCATTCCTCCGTAAGCTTGCAGATCATGGCCAAGCTGTGCTATGCACGATTCACCAGCCTAGTGCAATACTCTTCCAACAGTTCGATCGGTTACTATTCCTCAAAAAGGGAGGTCAAACGGTTTACTTCGGTCAAGTTGGCAAGAACTCGAGAACTCTCCTTGATTACTTCGAGAACAAGGGTGCCCGCAAGTGCAGCGACGACGAAAATCCGGCAGAATATATGCTGGAAGTGGTGACCGACCCCAATGTTGATTGGCATGAACACTGGAAGAACAGTGCTGAGTTTACTGCGGTCGAGAATGAGCTCTACAAGATCAACAACGAAGACAAGGCCAACATCGCTGAACCCACGCAAGAAGAAGAAGGCTTCCACTCAGAATTCGCCATGCCTTTCTCAAAACAATTGTACTCAGTGACTTTGCGCGTCTTCCAACAGTACTGGAGAACGCCCTCTTACATCCTGGCAAAGTTCATTCTTTGCATCGCGGCTGGTCTTTTCATCGGTTTCTCCTTTTACGATGCTAGTGTGACGCAGCAAGGCATGCAGAATGTTCTCTACAGTCTTTTCATGGTGGGCTCGCTTTTCAGTACTGTTGTTCAGCAGATCCAGCCTTACTTTGTCACTCAACGAGATCTGTACGAAGTCCGAGAGAGACCCAGCAAAGCTTACAGCTGGAAAGCCTTCATTCTTGCACAAATCATAGTCGAAGTGCCGTACCAGATCATCAGCGGTCTTCTCATGTACGCCTGCTTCTTCTATCCGGTCGTTGGCATACCTTCCTCGGAACGCCAGATTCTTGTGATGTTATTCTGCATCGCACTATTCATCTACGCATCTACATTCGCCCATATGCTTATTGCAGCCCTACCGAATGCGGAAACTGCAGCGGCTTTCGTTGTCTTGCTGTTTGCAATGAGTCTGATCTTCTGTGGTGTGATTCAATCACCTGCAGCGCTACCAGGCTTTTGGATTTTCATGTACAGGGTTTCGTTCTTTACATATTGGGTTAAAGGAATGGCGGCTGCTATGCTCTGGGGCCGGGCCGTGACCTGCGCACCAGCTGAACTCAGCATCTTCAACCCGCCGTCCGGTATGACATGTGGCGCATACCTCGAACCTTACCTGCAACTCGCCCCTGGCCATCTTCAGAACCCTTCAGCCACTAGCAATTGCAGTTACTGTGCGTTGTCAAGTGCCAATCAATATCTGGGTCCCGCTGGCATTAAATGGTCCGACCGATGGGCGAACTTTGGCTATCTCTGGATCTACATTGTGTTCAATATCGTTGTCACTATCGCACTGTACTGGTTCTTTAGAGCCAGGAAGATGTCTGGAAACAAGAAGTGATCGATAACTCTCGATTCCTGTTTCGTTTCAATCTGCAAGATTTATCTGTCTTTAGGGGTTTCTTTGTCTTTGCCCAGTCGTAATGTGTCCACTTTTTGTTTTTCTATAGATAGAGAACCTTAGAAGGCCGCTACTGCAAATCTTGATCAATAACATGTCTAGACCCCTGGTCCTGCAGCGCAAATTCTGTTCGGTACAATAGCGCGTTAACAATGTCTTGTGAGTCACTCTTGACCACAACTATCCGATTCGATCATCACTTTATGAGAATATGAGTCATGGGTAACATCGAGCTCATCATCGACCGAATCTTATCTTCGACGTCTAATAAGCTTCGTCGCAACGATAAGCAGTTTTGAGTCATACTTGTGGTGGGGATGATTGTAATATAAATCTGGTCTCAGTGTATAAATCAGGCTAAGCATCGTAGAGCCCTTCATCAATCTACGACAAGACACTAGAGGATAGAGCACACGACTAATGGCACGTACCAATCTGGTTCCTGTCCTTTCAGGCCTGTGGGTAGGTTAAGCAATCTTCGTACTGTGCTTGAATGCGAGGACCTCGTATGACGAGTTGCACGACTGACCCGACTGCAGATTGGCACTCTTTTTGTTGCCCTTGGTAAGGTAGATGAGCGTTGAACTCGAGGCAGAATGACTGAAAACACTCAGATGAGACAATGATTGCAACGATAGCAGTACCAATTACCACATCGCTTGCATCTCTCTCAAGCTTTTCATGGGTCTCGACGACTTATCTCACTGGTAGCATAGTATCACAAGCCATTAGTGGCCATCTGGTTGACCTTTTTGGACGCATTCCTGGCCTCATGGTCTGCTTTGCTCTTTTCACGACTGGCACAGTAGTATGCGGGTTGGCACCAACACTCCCCTTTTTCCTCTTGGGCAGATCGCTCCAAGGCATTGGGGGAGGAGCTATCTGCTCGATCACATCAGTCCTCGAGACAGATATCATACCAGTACAACGGCGAGCTTTTGTTGAAGGCCTCGCGAACCTTTTCTATGGTGTGATCCTCGCCCTTGGTGGGATATACGGCGCTTTTGTGACTAGGCTTCTTAGCTGGAGATGGGCTTTTCTACTCCAAGTGCCTGTCATCATCATCGATGGTATTGCGATCTTTTGGATCGCCAATGTCCCTGATAAAAGGGTGCCAGGCTTCTCGTACCATGAACTTGATCTCGTCGGAATATCTTCTCTCTTAGCAACCATTGTCCTTTCTGAATACGGTCTCAATCTCGCGAGCACAAACACGGACTGGCGATCACCATATGTCACGATTTCACTCTCCATCTCAGTCATATGCCTTGCCATCTTCATATACTGGGAAACTAGCCGAGCGAAACGTCCTGTTGTGCCGGTCAATGCTTTACTGGAGCGCAGTGTAGGAGCGATCCAGATCTCTGCATTCCTTTCGACTGGCTGTCTGGCAAGTGTTTTCTTCTACATTCCAATCTATCTGGACGTCCATGGCTTGACCGATACAGCGAAGAGTTTGCGGTTCATCCCTTTAGCGCTTCTGTTTGGTCTCGCAGGTGTTGTTATTGGTCATATAGTCCAATGCACCAATCGCTACTATTATACCAACCTGAGTCTACAGCTCACGGCGACCGTCGCTTATGCTTTACTCTGCACACTGCATCAGAATTCGCAGTCTTGGGAGCCGTTCTTCTATCTGGCAATCCTTGGGTTTGGAGTAGGGGGCTCCTACGTGACAAACCTCCTAGGGATCTTGACTTGCGTCTCTGAAGCAAATCTCACAACAGTACAAAGTGCTTCGTGGAGTGTTAGATCTGCTGGTGTTGCTTTTGGCCTTATGACCTCATCATTCATCTTTCAGAGTGTGGCCAGGGTTTCTCTCAGCATGACAGGACACCAAGCCTTGATAGGTGGCCATAGCAGCCAGGACTTTGCCGATTTGCCCGAGTTGTCAAAGGTGCCGGAAGAGTACAAAGAAGCTTATATCAAGAGCTATGACAGAGGTACACATGCAGTGTTCCTTGCTTTGCTAGCTCAAGCGGCAATTGGGACAGTCGTCTGTCTTTTCATCCAGGACAGATTGATACAGCAGAATGATTACTTAAGCCAAGATCACCAGATCCACCAGTTGAGCCTTCTGGACGATAGCTGTGACATAGAGGATTCGAGCTGCAGGTTTCAGGTTCATCATTCCCATGCACCACAATTAGATTAACGGAGTTCCTATGCTATGGAATCGCGGCACAGATACCTGCCATTCTTGTGGAATTCAATTCTCATTTCACCTATGCTGTTCCCTCTGATCTTCATTTGTTGTTATTTCTCGCCTCTGCATCGCAAAGCAACAAAAGTTTTCCTGTAAGTAGCAGCAATAGTAACAACACCGTCGAGCAAACTCAACCTTGGCTACAGGTGGTGCAACGGATCCTGGGTCCGCAGGGGATGCTTAGGACTCCACTGCTTCGCCCGAGAAGCTAGTCACCTTTCTTGGAATCACATGTTGCCCGGTCCGAGCTTCTAAACTGATGACTCGCCTATCATGTTGGTATGTCCGGGAGTCAATAGCCGAAATACACATACCTTTATCGAAAGCATTGTATCAAAGACCGTTAGGGTTCTCTGTTGCATAAACAAGTATGTCCAGTGCCTCACAGCTTTCTTACCCGTCCTACGCTTTCTTGGCACACCGAACACAGCGGATGTTTTTCGTTCCTTCTACGGTGTTTGAATCTACTAGCTGTGAGATTGGCACTGCTGATCTTCTTACACGAGCAATGAATCAGGCAATGATCCCAAGCTCCACATCCATGAGTCGGCCCTTTATAGATGAAAAAGGCAACGATTAGCTAATACCAAGACTTGACGGTAAGTACGGACCGAAAAGGATGAGAGTGCATGTAAGCCATATATGAAAAGTCTCATGCCCCTACAAGCAGTCATCAAATATACCTACTACATCACATCCCTCCAAATCACTCACTTAAACAATGGCCACCAGGCCCACAAAGAACAACAAACTTGCAACCAACATGAACCAATCCCCGCAAAACATGTTCTGGTCCAGCTGCAGCTGGATCATCAAAATCACAATGAAAATACTGCCTTGGCTTATGCTCATGCACAATCTCTTATACGTCATTTTCCCGAGCTCGAGGAACGGCAACGGCCTGGCTTGGTCCAATGTTCTCAGTATTGTCTACTTGATCGCCATGCAAGCAGCAATCGAGGCCGGCTTGATTGAAGTCTAGATGGGGTTGGGTTGGCCATGACACAGCTCCGTTGGCGATTCTATTGTCCATTGTGGAGCGATGGGATGGCCTGGCGAGGATCTTGAGGGTGTTTGGTATCCTTGAAGAAGCAGAATCGTTGACGGGGTCCACTTGTCGGATGAGCACGTCTTGAGGAATCTACGACAGATTCACGTCTGGTTTCTCTACGCTTTGATGATTCGTCTTTTCTTTTCCGGTATGTGATTCCATTCCCAGACATTGCTAGTAATGCATACCCTAGACTGACGTCGTGAAGATACTAGAGATCCAACGACCTACAGTTGATCAGCAAGATCAAGAACGTCAAGACGATCAAATCGTTTGTTGTCGAGAAGCAACTCCTTAGGGAACCACTCATCCAATTTCCCACCAGGGAAGCCGGGCGATGCGGGGATATCATCTTGTTCCGAGCCCATGATCATGATACCAAGGGCGGTCCCGCATAGCCAGGCAAAGACCATGCCTTCACCATTGTAGCCTGCAGCAATCCATTCTGATGAATTTTCTGAGCCTTTACCGGAACCTCTTGCACTGATGCGCGGGTCCAGCTTGCCCACGAACGGGAGCGAATCTCCTGTCAGTGATATGATGCCAGACCAGTGTTGCTGTAGATATCTGGGCTGGTTATCTGTTTGTCGATCTTGCTTCTCTTGAGAAAACACAATAGGTAAGATACCAGCTAGATGTGCAGATGTGATTGCATCAGTGCAACTGTCATCCCAGATACCAATCTGGTCAATGCCGTTATCCTTTGAGCGGAAGACTCCTCCACCAAGCATGATGTCGCCAGAGCCATCAGAAGACGGTCGTTGAGTCATGTAATCAAAGTCATCAGGACCATAGATCAACCCCCAAGAGCGATCTCCGTGACATCCTTGGTAGCTGTTTTGACCAGGGTTTTGCGCAGACATGTGCGCTCTAACGCCTGTTGCCTTCTTGTTGAGTTTTGGCAGTAAGTGACCCATCCAAGCATTGGTGGCATGAACAAGGTGCTCGCAACTTATGATGCCTCTATCTGTGTGGACGTTATAAGCGTCTTGATCGCCACTTTCGTCGACCCAGAGCACAGTCGTATGAGTTTCGATAGTGATTTGGTCAGGATACTCATCCAAGAGCTCACTCCAGACTGAAGTAACGAGCCTATACGGCCACAAAGCTCCTGCCTGGTACGAATATGCACCAACGACTTGGTCGCTGACTGCAAATTTCTGTCTCGTGTTAGCTTCATGACAGCGAGAGATAGTGAATGGAAGCAAGGTATTACTTTTTGAGCCTCGACTGACTGATAGACTCTGCCCTGGTGTTCAGGGAGAAGTGTTTTCAGCTTGCTCGCAGTATGGCAGACGTCGTCAAAGGTCTTTTGGTCGAAGAAGAGATCAACAGTCTCGACCTTACGACACTCTGCTTGTGTGAACTCTTCGCTCTGGCAAAGGTTTGTCAAGCATTCAAGATGGTCTAGTTGGAACCTGGTGAGTGCGACAGCTCGTTCCACTCCGTACTTTGCCTCTAGTTTCGCAAAAGTCTCATGAGGTGAGGCTTTGATATGACCGCCGTTGCGTCCAGTGGCACCGCTGCATATGTCTCTGGCTTCAAGGACAGTGATTGTAAGGTCTTGGTCCTTGCGCTTGCTTTCTCGGAGCAAGCTACGGGCTACAGCAGCGCCAGTGATGCCGCTACCGATAATGACTACATCTGCTTTATTGGGAAGACTTTTTGAGCGGATGTCTACAAGTTCAGGGAACGGCGGGTCTTCCAGCCAGTATGAACGGGTAGGATTACGATGCGGCAAAGATGCGCCTTGCTTAATCCGTGCGACAAGAGCTTCGTACTTGTGATTGAGGTCGAGTAGCGTTTTGATGGCGGTACGCAACGTCTTCCAAGACTTTTTAATCGAGTCAAAGAACCCCATTATTGCTGAGTGGCATAGTAGTGAGGCGTTTCAAAAGTGACGAGGAGGTGGGATAAATGGTGCAGTGTCAGGAGTGGGCTCCGGCTTGGGGCGGAGAACAGTAAAGCTTGACAGCCGGTCTGCCAAAACAACGGCCAGAGGTACGCGTATATTCGGTGCTCAGCCCAAGGCAATTGAGGATTGACATGGTGAGTATTATGTTCTGCTTTGTAGCGTATTATGTATAAGTAGCCATGTACCGTAAGAAAAGTCCGTGACAGTGGACAGAAGAAGACAAAAGCAAAACGCCATAACCCATCGTTCAGTCGTGTCGGTGAGAAAACCACAGAGCCCATACGCCATTCCTCAGCAATCAATCCCATATCTCCTTTGCGTGACCCCCATTGACACCTTTTATCCCATATGCCACTCTTTGCAGACTCCATAAACAGATATACTTCTTTCTTTCAAGCACCCGAGCCACCAACACCACCCTGACGTATTCTAGCCCTCGGGGCAGCGGCTGGTAGCGGATCGTTAACATTTCTATTGATTCCGAAAAGATACGCCAGCTCCTGCACACTCAATCTGCCCAGACTCTGCGATGCCTTTTCGTCAAGGGCTTCAGAAATGAGAGCACGTTTCTTCTCCTGCAAAGCGATGATGCGATCCTCGACAGTCTCCTTGATCAAGACGCGGTGCACCATGACTGGTCTTGTTTGTCCAAGACGGTGAGCACGGTCGATGGCTTGTTCCTCAATGTATGGATTCCAGAAAGGATCCATGATGACAACCTGAGAAGCGCAGTTGAGGTTCAAACCTGCATTGCCGGCCTTGAGCGAAATAAGCATCATGCGGACGTTGGGCTTGTTCTTGAAATCATCCACAGCATCGGCACGTAGTTTGGCGTTCATGCTTCCATCGTAGCGGCGATATCCCCAGCCCTTCTCAGACACAGGAACTTCGAGCAAGTCGAGGAGAGATGTCCACTGGGAGAAGATGATGATCTTCTCACTCTCCGGTGCTGAGATGATGCTATCCAGAATCTCCATGGTGCGCTCGATCTTGGAAGAAGGCTTGAAATCTTTCTTCAACATGCGGAGGTAAATCTTTCGCCATCCAGGCTTCCTGATTGCCATCTTCTTCAATTCAGGAATAGTCATCGTGGCCGCCTTCCTTTTCTTTTCGGAGCTGCTCGACTCCTTGAGCTTTCCTTTTGCTTTCTTGCTCATCTTGGACTTGACCTTCTTTTCAGGCTTTTTCAGGGCAGCCTTCAGTCTGCGTTCCGCTGCCTCTTCGTCATCTTCTTCTTCAGCACCATCTTCGACAATGAAACCATCAAGAGAATCAGTCTCATCATCGTCATCGTCTTCTTCTTCGTCATCCTCAGAGTCGTCGTCGGTGTCAACAGCAGCCATGTCGTCATCTGCGTCGTTCTTGATATCGACCGTCTCATCCAAAGCAGCTTCATGAGGCATGTGAATACGCTTGAAGCACTCGTAATCGATGACCTTCTTCGTGTTGATGAAACCACGACATTCAGGACACTTGGCAGTTCGTCCTTCATCTCCTTCAGCGAGCGCGTTAGAAGGGTCGGCAATTCTAGAGAAGCAGTCCGGGCAAGTGTCGTGGCCGCAGGGAGTGAAGATGGCAGGGTTCTCAACGGCATCGTAACAAACAGGGCACTCAAATACACCGTTTGCTTCCTTGATACGAGCGATGACGCCTGGTTCGAGGCTCCTGCAAATCTCATCCATCGTTTCCTGTGAGATTTCGGCAGTCGCAGCAACAATGCCGAGATCCTTGATCAGGTTAGGATGGCAACAGGCTTGTCGGAGACGAAGCAGCAGAACCAGGATTTGCATGTAGGAGTTGCTGACTGTACCAGCCTTGAGATACTTGTTGAACTTGACCGCAGAGCTAGTCTCGAGAGCAACGTAGATGTTACGCTCGTCTTCACTGAATTCGGGATTGGTCTCTTCGACGCGTCTCTCTGGCAGGTTGAGAATGGGGCGACCATTGATCTCGGTCTTCTTGTTGCGACGGAGGAGAATTGCCTTCAGTAATGCTTGCAGCTTGTGCATAGCCATCTGACGTGCAGACTCGTTGTTACCCTTCAGTGGCTGGTTGAAATCGCTTCTGAACTTGTTCCAGTTATTGTATGGTTTGATACGTAAGAAATGAATAAGAGAGTAGAGCTCTTCAACACTATTCATCATGGGAGTTCCTGTCATGCAGAATCGAGACCGAGCTTGAAGATAGAAGGCAGCTCTAGCGGTCTTGGTGGTTTTGTTCTTGATGCATTGCGCTTCGTCGATGATGACTCTGTACCACTTGCAGTCTGGACCGATGAACATACACTTTTCGTCATCTCTAGGCTGGGCCATTGGGTCCGCTTTTTTGCGCAGCTCATACTTCTCAATCTTCTTCAATTCGGCAGCAATAGTACCGAAAGTAGTCAGAACAACGTCAAAGTCGCGCAAGTCCTTGTGGCTCTTCTTCTTAGCGCTCGAATGGTGTATGAACGTATGCAACCTGTGTCTACCAGGCTTCACTTTCGTCATGATTTCCTGTTCCCATTGACGCAGAAGAGCAACAGGCGCAAGAATCAGAGTAGTCTTGTTCACCGGGTCTTCAGAGCGGTTTGTGACCATCAGCGAGATTGCTTGAACGGTCTTGCCCAAACCCATGTCGTCAGCCAGGATTCCACCCTTATTTGAGCCATTCTCCATCTTCTGAAGCCATTCGAGACCGGCAAATTGATAGGGCTTGAGCTTGATGGTGAGTCCGTCGACTGGCACGTCCTCTTCATTGGCAATCTTGGAAGCATCATCGGGTTGAATGTTCTCCATCAATTTGCGAAGCTCTTCTTTCGTGTCAACGCTTTCGACATCAAACATGTCCCAGCTTGGAGGGTCTCGCTGAATTGTTGTAGATCGTAGATATTGCAAATCATCATCTGGCGAGTCGAACCTTGTGCTTCTGCCGCGTCCGTTGATGAGACCACCCAGTTGAGCAAGATCGTCATAAGCGGCGCGTGGAACAGGTCGTTGGGACAAAGGCATGATGGAAGGCATGATGGAAGGATGTGGCAGAGGGTAAGGCACGTTGCCCGGCATGGGCCTGCGCTGATGTGGATTCTGGGCATTGAAGGCTTGATTGGCAGCGCTTTGCCGATGCCATTGTTCGAGACGCTCGCGGTTGGTCTGATTGATTATTTCTGACTGGCGAGCAGATTCTTGTCTTTGACGGTAAGCAATCTCATGCTGCTGACGCATCATTATTTCATGCTTGTGTTGAGCGCTAACAGCATTGTTCTGCTCCAAGAGATGGCGACGGCGCATTTCCTCAGCTGGATTGGACCTTAGTTGTTGGAGTTGAGGTTGTTGAGGCTCAGATTCATCATCCCCAGTCAGATCAATGACCATAGGACCGCCGAAGCGGGTGGCCGGAGGAGTAGCATGTTGAACAAGTTCGGGCTTGAGCGGTCTAGAAGCGTAACCATATCCAGGACTCGAGTGAACTTCGGGCTTGACATGTGGTGTGCCTGCAGCGGGATATGGAGCAGGAGCTTGTGATTGCGAAGGAGGGTTGCTCCTGTAGCCTGGAGGTCGAAAGACTGGGGCCATTTTACTGGGCGACATGTCGGACTGCGAGGGGCGATTGGTACGGGATGGACCGGCGATGGGCGAGGAAGAGGGTTGTTGGCTCAGTCGCGAGGCAAAATCGGCGTCAGCAGCTACAGATTCTGTCCTCTGGCGGGCGGCGGCTTCGATCTGACGCTGTCTCTCTAGATAAGCCATGCGACGGTCCTGGCTAAGTGGTCGCTGACTCGGCGGGCCCATGGGAGTTGGCGCGGGTCTCTTGTTCCTGTCGAAGCTGGCCAGTGGCGACAGCTCATCGCGACTCCTCTTGAGCTGTGGGTTCCTGCTAGGAGTGGGGACAGCGGTCGTGGCGTCCAAGGTCGGGAAGTCTTGATCCATGTCGCTGGCGTCGGACTGAGGGTATGCGCCGGGCGCATTGTATGAGCGATTGCTCTCTGGTTGTGATGAAGCAGGAGCAGCGTCGTTGAAGTGAGCCATGCGCCTTTCGAGGTCCATGATAGCCAATTCCACCTCTTGTCTGCGCTCGTTGCTCTCGGAGGGATCCAGCGTGTCCAGGAGGGTTTGTTGGAAAATAAGCTCGTCCTCGACCTCCTCCATGTCGGCGTTGAGATGGAGGGTCGACATGGTGCGATGCGAGGCACAATCGCGTTTGTGCGACGGACGAAGGCAGTTGGGTCGAAAGTCGCTCTTTCCTCCAAGTTAATTCTCGTCGGATGATGCAAGTCGTAACCCGAGAGTTCGAAACGCTCGGCCTTGGTCGACCGTGCACAACCTGACCGGGCTCTCTGTCCGCGCTATCACGTGTCTGCTGCCTCTTACACCTGTCTACTCACTTGTCGACAGCAATGTTTTGTGATGTGTCATGCGAGAGCAAGGCGAATTGAAGACATGCATTTGCAAGGCTGCCGCGCGCCTCCAAAACCACTCACATGCATGTCAAGGAACGACGGCAGCAAGTGCCTTGATCCAGCATGCAGCCGACACATCAATTGTTATGCATCCATTGTCCTGCAAACGACTTGTTTCATGCATCCAGCCTTGCCGCTGCCGCTGCTCCTTACGCAACAGCATGCTTCACTCGAGACCAAAAACATGAGCTGGACAGATGATCTGATATACAGCAACATTTTCCCAGTCAGGTAACCTTCGGCGCGCGCCTGAACAGCGAACAGCCCTAAATGATATGGTCCAAAAGAGGCAATCCGAGAGCTGCCACTTTTACCCCGCATCTCCTCCGCTCTGCGGCCACAACGGCCTGGGTCAAGCAGCTTCGAAAGCTAAACCGTCGATCTGTTTGCTGGTTGGAACAAAAAGTTGTGGCAGCCACATAAGAATGAGTCTGGCAAAAAGACGCAGCTGGGATTGAACAGGATATTGATAGACAATACTGAGATCTGCTGAGCAAGAGTTGGAATGTGGTAGTTATAGCTGTCTTCGCTGATGAGGCAAGTCTACCGTCCATTGCTGCAAGTCCCGGAACGAGGAGCGACGTCTCGGACAACCCAGAAGGGAAGCCAAGCGTAGTAGTGACCGACGCAAGGAGGAGCTGCAATAAAAAGGACAGCGGGATCGTGTCGTTGTTGGCAGTACTCTGCATCCTTTCTCCTCTTCTCATCTCTTCTCAATCGCTTCCTCAAAAAGTTCTTTTCCTACTCTCTCTACCCTCCGAATGGCTTCTCTCAGGTTGTCTTCGCGCTTTGCTCGTACCGCATTTGGTGCAGCAAAGTCAAACACCGTTCGCACTTTTGCAATTTCTGCTCGTCAACAGAATGCTACAAAGTCTGACCTTGACCAATTGAAGAACCCTCCCAAGGGAAACCCCATTGTCTCTGGTCGCGGTGCTCCAGAGCCACCATCAGACGAGTCTGCCCATTTGAAGGACAACTACAATGCCGCAACATACCTTGGAACGACCAAGCGCCTGCCAGAGTTTGCGCTCAACGACAAAGTGGTGTTGGTGACTGGCGCCGCACGTGGACTGGGATTGGTACAGGCCGAAGCTTTGCTTGAGGCTGGCGCAACTGGTAATGTTGCGCATGAGATTTGACCAAGATTCGAAGACTAACACCAGAATAGTGTATGCTCTGGACCGCCTTCCTGAGCCCAGCGAGGACTTTTATCGCATTCAAAGACGCGCAGCTGAGGAGCTTGGCACCACATTCCACTACCGTCAGATCGATGTTCGTGATGTACCACAATTGAACGAGGTCATTGAAGACATCTCCAACACAGAGGGCCGTATGGACGGACTTGTGGCGGCAGCAGGTATCCAGCAAGAGACGACGGCGCTCGAGTACACGGCCAAGGATGCCAACACCATGTTCGAGGTCAACATAACCGGAGTCTTCATGACGGCGCAGGCAGTGGCCAAGCAGATGATCAAGCATGGAAACGGCGGAAGCATGGCTTTCATTGCATCCATGAGCGGCACAGTCGCCAACAGGGTATGATGTTTGGTCTCGTTGTTCCTGAAAATCGGGCTAACAAGAAAACAATAGGGACTGATCTGCGCGGCATACAACTCGAGCAAGGCAGGAGTTATCCAATTGGCAAGAAACCTGGCAAGTGAGTGGGGCCAACATGGGATCCGCGTCAACACCATCTCGCCGGGATACATTGTTACGGCCATGGTGGAGGCACTGTTTGTCAAGTACCCCGAGAGACGTCGCGAGTGGCCCACGCAGAACATGCTGGGCAAGCTGAGCAAGCCCGAGGAGTACCGTGGAGCAGCCGTGTTCCTGATCAGCGATGCCAGCTCGTTCATGACAGGTAGCGATATGCGTATTGATGGTGGACACAGTGCTTGGTAATTTGGTTGGTCTAGTCGAGGTCCTCATCGTCGTCTTCATCTACGACAAGTCTTCTTCGTTCTTCGCCGAGGAAAACTGCATAGTGATATTAGCGTTGTGTATATCTCGTTTCAAGATGTTTTGCGCACCTCTCTTGTACAAGTATGGAGTCAAGAAAATGACAAAGGGAGTGCCGACGATGATGGAAGTCCACTTGAAAGCAAAAGATCGGTATCTTTTCTTGTAGTCCTTATTCCTGTCTTCCTGAATAGAGTCCATGATGGCTTTGCGGGCTTGTTGAGTCTCTTCTTGGGTGTCGGGGGTCTTTGTCTCGCCGGGACCTGGTGGTGGAGGAGCGGGCTTGGGAATGCGACCAGAGTATTTGAGAGGTTGTCTGCTGCTCGTTGATGCCAACCGCGATGGCATACGATGTGTAAGGCCCCTCAGAGGAGCGTGCAGGGGAGCTAGCGGCATGTTGGCGGCTGTGTCTGGTGTACAGGATTGTGGGAATAATCTTAGGAACAATTGACAAGCGCCGGCCAAAGCTGACCATGTCTCGGCCTTGGCATTTGGAGAGCTCGAACTTTCTCCAACTCGCGACTCGGTCCATATCGATAACAGGTGGGGTTTGCGTCATGGGCCTTTGGGGTAGCTCTTGATCATGTATCTTTGAACAAACATCCACCAACAAACTTTCTTCTTGTACACCAAACATGGCCAAACTACTAAAGAAGCCTCTGAAGCTTGCCTGTGTCCAGCTGTCGACCGGTATGCATTGAGTCTCCAACTGCTGAAACCATGACTGACACCAAGCAGGCGCTGACAAGGCCGCCAACCTCGCTCGCGCAAGATCAAAGGTCCTCGAAGCCACCAGCAAGGGCGCCAATGTCGTCGTTCTACCCGAGTGCTTCAACTCTCCTTATGGCACAAAGTACTTTCCCAAATACGCAGAAACCCTGCAACCCTCACCACCCACCGAGTCGCAATCTCCCACCTTCCACGCCCTGTCTGCTCTGGCCAAAGAGTCCAAGGCCTACCTGATCGGTGGCAGTATCCCCGAGTACCTCGCCGACACAAAGAAACACTACAACACAAGTCTCATCTTTGGCCCTGACGGAAACCTGCTGGCCACCCACAGAAAGGTGCACCTCTTCGACATTGATATCCCCGGCAAGATTAGATTCCAAGAGAGCGAGATCTTGAGTCCTGGAAACAAGGTCACTCTGGTCGATTTGCCCGAGTATGGAAAGATTGCTGTCGCCATCTGCTACGACATTCGCTTCCCCGAGCTGGCCATGATTGCCGCAAGACAAGGTGCTTTCCTGCTGCTCTATCCTGGTGCCTTCAACCTCACTACTGGCGAGCTGCATTGGAAGTTGCAAGCACGCGCAAGAGCCATGGACAATCAGGTCTACGTTGGCCTCTGTTCGCCCGCCAGAGACATGACTGCCGACTACAATGCCTGGGGCCACAGTTTGATCGTCAACCCAAACGCTGAAGTTCTTAGTGAACTGGATGAGAAGGAAGGCATTGTCTATGCTGATCTGGATGGAGAGACAATCGAGTCGACGAGGAAAGGAATTCCCATCTATACCCAAAGAAGATTTGACGTATACCCTGATGTCAGTAAGGGGGACGTCAAGTATGAAGAGTAATCCTGAATCCATCAACTTTCCCCTGTACACATATTTTGCAAACCTGCTGAGTTGATTCTTGAAGCGCTAACAAGTAGATGCCATCATTGTGACTGCCATTTCCGTTTTTTGAAGCCGCGAGCAAACTGGCGTCGTCCTTGTTGAGCTCGAAGCTGAGGTAACCACGACCGACAAGACTGGCGGTGCTGCGATGGCAGGAACCTCGCACCTCGGCGCTTCCTCACCTTTCCTTGCTGTCAACACGACTCTCTTCTCATCTAACTACCACATTATCATATGCAGCATTCGTTATGTATACTCCTTCGTCTTATTCATCCTCGCAATCAGGCAAACCCCCTACCTGGCCAATGGTTCCCCTATCTGAGCTGGAAATCAAGATTCCTGTTCGAACATCAAGTCTGGGTCCGCTGCTCCAACCTGAATCAGCTCTCTCGTCACCATCGCCAGATCCATCCAACCTAGGCCACTACAATGATGGCACTTTGTCTCGCAGATCAACTGTTCGTGGTACGGTGACATTCCGCTCTCCTGATGTTTCTCCCAAGACACAATCGCCACCCTCATCTTCATCGATCGAGAAGGACAAGAAGAATCTCGAACGTGCAGTCACTGGACTTCACAATCTTATGGAAGAAGCCTTGACCGTCGCCCAAGATGCCGCTCAGAACAACAGATCTCAAGACGTCGCTCAAATACTCGATGAGGCCAAGCTCGCTCTCCGCAAGTCAAGCACCATCCACGGCTACATGTCACCGCCCCTCCGCATCGATGATACCGAGAGCGATGAGTACTTCTCATCCGATGAGTACGAACAGGCTTCCGACTCTGACGCCGACATCGAGTCCAATATCTCTTCTATGCAGCCCAAGCCAAAAGCATCCAATACAAGCATCCCAACTGCTTACAACAAGAGCAAGAGTGGTCTCTCTCTGGAACCAGCTCCTACCGCTTCAATACCGCTTGCTGTCCCCCGTCACTCAATCAGGCAGCGCTCGGTCGTCCATCCAATACTGAATCCACCTTTCGAGAGTGACGGCAAGCATCCCTCATCTCAGGAGGCCACTGTCGGCCCTTCGTCCTCAGAAAACTTCTCCATGACTCAGACACCACCTCAAATGTACTCCAAGATGTCGGTTGGCTCTACGATGCATGATTGGGCTTATGCCAGGCGACCTTCAACTCGTCGTGACCTCCGGGGCGGTTCTGAGCCTGGACCAGTCAGTCAAGATGAGACCGTCCTACCACCGCCTGCCGGAGAAAGCACTGGTGTCGTTTTGCCTCCTGTCATTCCACAAGATGCATCGGTCAAAACGCCAGAGCAGATACCACATGAACCTTTTCGTATCTCAATCCCTGCTGTACCAAAACGGAGATCGCTTCGGCCTGTTCGATCCGACCCTCAGCTATCAAGCACACCCACGCCGCCTCCTCAGCCAACAGTGCCGTATGCCGTCTACGATCCTCGACACTATGTCAGCCCAGACTATCCGTCACCTCAATATCCAGCTGCCAGTTCTCCTGAAGTAGCTGGACCTTCTTCAGCTCCGCCCAAAAGATGGAAACCCAAAGTCGGCGCAAGTCGCATCTTCGAGTCCTCCTACTACCATGTTCCAGAGCGCAGAGAAGTGCCCGTAGCTCTTCCAGCATCTACACAACCTGCTTTACCTGGTGCGCCCGGACAGCCACCTCCTGCTGGTCAGCCTGCTCTGTCCACAGGTCAAGTACCTCCAGCAAATGCCCCATCTCCAGACTTGAGCTTGAAGCATCCACGCAAGAACCACATCAGCCTGAAGGACGAACAAGGCTTTCGCTTCCACAGATATCGCCGCTCGCCCATTGCCAGAGAATGGAAGATTGGTCGCAAACGCATCACCGCCATCATTGCCTGTCTCAATACCATGCTTGTTGGGTTGATTGCTGGTATTTATGTAAGTCACTCTCTCGCAGCACGTCACAACAATCATTGACCAGAACACACAGGCTGGTGAGGTGCCCAAGATCCAGTACAAGCTTGGAGATGAGCATCACCATGTGATCTTGGGAAATGTGCTGTAAGTCGAATCGAACAATATTATATAGGTCGTCTGAGGTCCCCATTCTTGATACTGACACGCTTGAAAGTCTATATCTCGGCATGGGAATCACTACCCTGATCTGTTGGCCACTTCCACTTCTCCACGGCAGGAGACCTTATACATTGGCAGCACTCGCAATCGCCATCCCACTTCAGTTCCCTCAGTCCATAGCCACAGCTTTCTACAGAGGCCCACATCTGACCAGAGCTCTCGTTGGCCTACTCGTTCCTCGTTTCTTCCTCGGTCTGGCTCTCGGCTTTGCGCACATTAACTTCTTGTCGACTTTGCTTGATCTGTTTGGTGCTTCACTTCAGTCACGAAACCCGCATCAAGAGATTGTTGTCTATGACGATGTTCGACGTCAAGGAGGTGGCATGGGCATTTGGCTGGGTCTCTGGTCTTGGTGCTTTGTTGGATCCCTGGCTCTCGGATTCCTGATTGGCGCCTCCATCACTCAGCATCTTGCACCGTCCTGGGGATTCTACGTCTGCGTCATTCTTCTTTCCTTCTTCATCCTGGTCAACGTTGTTGCGCCCGAGACACGCCGTGCTCCTTATCGTCGATCAGTTCTGAGATATCTAGATGAAGACGAGAAGCTCAAGAAACGTGTAGCACGTGGTGAAGTCAAGTTACATCTCGATCAAGACGGCCCCAAATACTGGTATCAAGAGGTCTGGGCTGGTATGAGACTCATGGCCCACATGTTTTGTCAATTCGGCTTCTTCGTGCTCGCCGTCTACCTGGCCTGGATTTACGCCTTGGTCGTCCTCGTCACATTGGTAAGTTATGATTGCATTCCGCTGATATGACTGGTCTGCTGACATTTAACAGCTCTTGGGTGCACTGCTCTCGCGCAACTACGGATGGCAACCTCAGTGGATCGGCTTGGCTGTGTTTGCTGTTGCAGTGGGCGCAGCACTCGCTGTCCCGTTGACAAAGGCCAACGTCTTCTCTCGCGACAGGGTTCAGCCTATGCGCACCGACAGCGGGACATTCGAGTCGCGTGTTACGTGGTCATCGCATCTCCTCAGGCGTTGCTTGTTCACCTTTGCTCTGCCTATTGCTGGACTCGCATATGTCCTAGCATCTCCTGGACCTAGCGTCAAGCCAGCTGGGCCTACTGTTCTCGCCGCAATCATCGGTTTCTTCTCGTGTCTCGCTATGGCAGAGTGCATTGGGTTGGCAATGGAAGCTTTCGACACCAGTGATCTTCAACCCGGTGTCAACAGCAGACATCGTCTGGCCAGTATGGAGAGTGCTACTCGCAGAAGACGCACAAACTACTCATCTTACCCGCGTGTATGCGCAGGTATCTTCGCCGCTCAAGGATTGGGATTTCTGATTGCAGCTGCCGCAACTGCTGTCAGTGGCAACGTGACCCGAGCTCTTGGAGCACAAGCTGCGACCGGTGTCACTGTCGGTATTTTGCTGGGGTTGACGATTTTACTTTCGATTGTCATGTGGCGCTTCAGATCTGTCCAAGTCATTCCAAATGGTGCCTTTGGGTCCCGTGGGGGAGGCAGTATTGATGCAAAGGCAGATCAAGACTGGAAGCCTGTCGTCATTGGTAATCCTTCTGGGAAGATGAGGCGCATGAATTTGCTCGAATTGGGATCTTACAGCAGGTGGACAGAGATTCGCAAGCTGAACCACTTGATCAGCGACAAGAAGCGGTATGTGGGATGAGAGGCAGTATTAGAGTTTCTTTCCCGGGGTAGATGACAGAGTTGATAATCCTGAAGTACCTGTTGCCCACATTGAGTCTTTGTCGCCTCGTAATATCCCGGTTGTCACAAACCGCAGACACACGGGATCGTGTGAGGGATCAAATAACCAGTGCATTTGCGTCCCTACTACGTCAACTATTCTGAAGAAAACATTCAATCAATAGCAAAGCTGCATTTTATGACTTTTGATAAAAACACATCTTCATCTTTCCTCTTCGCCATGAAACTTGCTCGAACTCAGGTTTGAGCACAGCGAAATCTTAGTAAGTCTGATGCTTCTTGACCTCCTCCCACAGCTTAGGATCCTGCTCGACTCTGACCTGCTCAGACTGTTCATCCACGAGCTCGTTCAAACGACGGAGATCCATGTCCTTTGCGAGCAGGGGAATGACGTATTTGTCAAAGGTTTGCCAGTAAGGGTTTTCGAGGTGGTATTTTTGGCTCTGTGGAAAAAGAGTTTGGTTAGAAAGTTGGTGGACAGGGAGAAGGGAAGAGGGGAGCTTACGCTTTCGTGCAAATATCTCTCGACGATGGTGAAGGCGCGGGGGTCCTTTGTATCTTGCATGACGAACCTATTCACAACGACGAATTTAGCCTTTACTTATTCCTCTGCTCTCATCATTCTTCCGCAAAGCAACATTTGAAGAAAGCCATGCAAAGATAAAAGGTTGAAACAACATACCAGCCCAGACACTCCTTGTCATTAGTGTAGACCTGAGAAGCTTCCTGCAGCTTTGCGATCAATTTGTTGATGCACTCTTGGTCATCCTTTGCGTAGAGGTGGACAACGAGTGTATAGACCATTTTGAGGGATTTCTCTTGAACAAAAATCTGATGAAAGATGGTAATTGGAAGTGGTGTTGTTTGTTGGAATTGAATTGTAGGAAAGGAGGGGTAAACACAGCTGGCCGCAGCGAAAAGGTGGGATGTCGTTCAACACCAAGCTATCGGGCCTTCTTTTTTTCAGAGCTTCGGGCAAGAGAGAGACGTCATTGCTCTTGGAGAGATGGGGTTTGTGAATCACGGAAACAGTGAATTTGGTTTGTGTATTTGGTCAAGAGAAGTAACATCACAGCAGAGTAGAATGCTGATCTCTATAAAACGCAGTCATATGGCCGAGGTGCTGATAGGAAGTGATGATGATGCAGGAGCAAAAAAGACAAAAAAGAAATCTCCTCTCTCTGAGTCGAACAAAGGACCTTCTGATGACAATTAAACAATTACAGTCAGACGCTCTAAACCAACTGAGCTAAGAAGAGATTGATGAATAAGCACTCGATTATCTGTGTTTATATTCCTCAATGTGCAACACTGCCTCGGCGCTAACTCCAAGCATGTATGACGCGGCATGTGGGCAGGCAGACCGCCAACTTCCAAGGCCAAGGCAGACCGGAACAGGAACAACCGGGCTCGAGTATATAACAAGACCTTGGCAGCTCAGGTAGGTGATATGGAAGCTATTTATTCCGACCTACGCCTCTACTAGGAAATACCACATCCTACGTCTTTCCGCGTCCACTCAGACCAGACCGGCGCTCCCG